TTTTTAAGTAGTCTTTGAGACAGGGTCTCCCTGTAGCCCCAGCTGGCCTAGAACTCAGTATGTAGACCTGCTGGCCTTGAACTCACGGAGATCCTCCTGCCTCTGCCTCCCTAGTCCTGGGATTAAAGGTATGCTCTATCACACCCGGTACATGTCCTGCCTTATTCAGGGAGATTTTCTTAGCTTACCTCCTTAGGTCTCAATCTAACCCTGATCTGCTTCATACTGACAAGCCCATCTGTGCATTGCTTATGCATGTGGGCCTTCTCACGCATCCAGGTGATACCAGCGGTAGGATCTAGTTGCTTCATGTGTGGCGGACATAATTTTCTTACGTTCTCCCTTCTGAACAGGTTATTTCAGTCTCTTGCTCATTACTTCTGAAGAGCAGCAAATGGCATTGTGCTGTGCTGTCTTGAGAAGATACTCCTGAGGACCCAGCAGTGATCGGTGAAAGCAACAGATTTGTGTTCATCTGGGTGACTGAACAGGAGTGATGCCTCCAGGCAGGTGGTATGCTGCCCGCTCAGCTCAGGCCCAGGCTTCAAGGAAGCGTGGACACCCTAACTTGATAAAGAAGGAAGAGGAGGAGGATGAATATACTCTGGTGCAGACTGCCAGGCCACAGACACTTAACCGCCCTGGCCAGGAGCTATTCCGCCAGCTCTTTAGGCAGCTTCGCTACCACGAGTCTTCTGGGCCCCTAGAAACTCTGGGCCGCCTCCGGGAGCTCTGCCGCTGGTGGATGAGGCCTGATGTTCTTTCCAAGGCACAGATGTTGGAGCTGCTGGTGTTGGAGCAGTTCCTGAGTATCTTGCCTGGAGAGCTTCGGACCTGGGTGCAGCTCCATTGCCCTGAGAGTGGTGAGGAGGCTGTGGCCTTGCTGGAGGAGCTGCACAGGGATCTTGATGGGACACCATGGAAGGTAACTGGTGCCCAGGGAGCCCTATCTGCCTGTCTGTGGGCGAGGTGCCCTCTGAGCTGTCAGCCTGAGGAATGCGGGGAAGATTCTCCTTGTTAATATGTCTGAGAACAGAATATGGTCAGCAAGTATTGACAAATCACAGCATGAGCTTATGGATGCAGTGGCTTATATAATGTAGAAATTCTGTCTGCACATAGGATCTAATTTGATCATGTAGGACATGGTAGGAAGAAGGGGAAACATAGGGTCAGGACTCTGGGCTTCTGAGTAGAAGAGCAGTCTGCATGTAGCTGGTTATATCCCTGGGCTGGGAAGTTGGAAGACTTTTTTTTTTTTTTTTTTTAATTTTTGTGATTTAAAAAAAAATTATGTGTATGAGTATATTCTCTGTGTGTCTGTGAACCCGTGTCATGCAGTGCCCATGGGAGTCAGAAGAGTGTGTTGGATCCCCTGGAACTGGTTGTTAGCTGCCATATGGGTGCTGGGCATCAAACCCAGGTCCTCTGCAAGAGGAGTCGGAGTCAGTGCTCTTAACCACTGAGTCATGTCTCCAGACCAATCTTTTTGATTTTCATGCAATATAATTTGATGGTATTTAGATCCCGTTTCCTAAAGACTTCAATTTTAAGCTTCATTTCACAGCCTCAGTGTCCTTAGACATCTCAGTACCTTTCTAGACCTTAGTTTACTGAGAAGAAAATACAGAAATGAGCTAACGATGAGGATTTGTTCAGTAAATGTTTGCATGCTTTATCGTGTGCCTTGGCCCTGGCCTTGGTGTGAGGAAACAGCCAGTGTCCTAGACCTGGCAGGAGAGTGGTGCTGGGGCGCTTCCTGCATTTTTCCTTTGGCTGCACACAGGACACTGGTCTTTTATCTTCTGAGTTTTCTAAAAAAAAAGCCTTGATCATTTTTTAGGCTTCCTTCAAATTTCATTTATATAAAAGAGGTGAGTCTGCATGTATAATTCATGCTTAGATGTGACTAAGATTTTTTGAAGTTTGTCCCCAAATTTATTAAAAAAATTAAATAAGCAGTTGATCATAATCTCTCAGCAGAAAACAATAATAAATGAGTGTAAGGAATTGTTAATAAATAAAAAACACTTTTTGTCTAATTGGGAGTATTTTAAAAAGTTCTGAGGGTCTGGAGAGATGGCTTAGTGGTTAAGAACACTATTGCAGAATACCCGGGTTCAAACCCCAGCACCCACATGGCAGCTAACAACTGTCCGTAACTCCAGTCTGAAGGGATCCGACAGCTTGTTCTGACCTCTGTGGGCATTGCATAACATGGGTGCACTTACCTACATATGCAGGCAATACATGCATAAACATAAAATAACATAATAAAATTAAAAAAAAAAATCTGAAACAGCATTCAAACCCTCCGCCAACCCCCACTGTGTCGTTAGTGCTAAGCGCTGGCCTGGAAGTCAAATGTGTAGAACAGGCTGCCCTGAAATTCATTCTACCTTTGCCTCCCAGGTAGTAGTGTGATTGGTGTGTCACTATGCCAGGCCTGCAGTTATCATTTTACAAAATCACTAGAATGCTCAGAGGGACTTGATAGTAATTTATAAAGTCATGTAAGATAGAGCATTTGCAAGATTGTGGCTTTGTTATACTTAGCTTATTTAGGGTGAGAGGGAAGGTTTTTAAAAATCCATGTAAACATTGCCAAATGAGCAAAAAGAGCCTAACCTGTTGAAGACGAGCTAGAAGAATATAGAAGACAGTGGGAGCTGAGAGAAAGCCCCCAAACCAAGAAAATGAACAGAAAAGCATTGTGATGCCTGCAGAGTCACAGAATCCTGGGAAAGTTTTTGTTTTAGACTTTGGGGGGCATGAATAGGAGGGCTGTGCAGTCTCTGTCAGATGTTCAGCAGCCTCAAGCTAAGATTCGTTGATATCAGTGTAGAGAAATCTTTGGCCACAGGGCCAGGAAAACGCCTCTAGGTTGATTAGCTTTAGCCTTCTGGGCTCATTTCTTCGTCAAAGACAGCCTTGCCTGGGACAGCTGTTTGAAATCCCAGGGCAGAGCACTGCTTCCTGCTGTCTGATTGGATGTGCACAGGATGAGACTACTTCTTTGTGGTTTCCTGGCTGACGGTCCTAATTAACATTGTCTTTCTAGTGGTGTTATTTTGGTCAAGTTTACGCTCTGAGAGCCTTCTCTGAGGTCACCGTGCACCTCAGTGTACTTAACTGTACCTCTGCTGTAAACTGTTTTCCATTTAACTCCCTCTCATTTCTCAGCTTCAGGCCAGGGATAGGCTAGGGTAATGGAGAGGTGTCACTGTGGCATCTGATATTGCTATCCTGACTTGCCAAGCGTTCTAGTTTGGTTTCTGTTGCTGTGGTAAACACCATGACCAAAAGTAGCTTGGGGAGGTTCATTTCTGTGTACAACTCCCAAGTCACAGTCTATCACTGAGGGAAGCCAGGGCTGGAAACTGGAGGCAGGAACTGAGGCACAGACCACAGAGGAATGCTTGATGGCTTGCTCCTCTTTCTTGTGCTCAGCCTGCATTTTTATACAACACAGGTCCACCTGCCCAGGGGTGGTACCATCCACAGTGACCTTGGTCCTCTCATATCAATCAGCAATCAAGAAAATGGCTCAGAGACACGTGTGTCCATAGACACAGAGAAAATTCCCCAGTTGAGGTTTCTTCTTCCCAGGTGTGTGAACTTGACAACTCGAGCAATGAAGTACACTCTTCTGTTAAGTGGGAATCTGTTTGTGCTGGGATTCCCCATGGTAAAAGGAGACCGAAGGGTGGGAGGAGTTTCCCTGTCCTTTCTCTTTGGGTCCCTTCTGCCTGGAGGTAAAGGGTCTAGTGGCCCATCCCTTAGCTTCTGCTTCTTAGAGGTTGGCCATATGACCTCTTTGAGTTTGAGTTCTGATTCCTGAAGGAATGCTCTCATGACAATTTTTTTCCTTACCCAGGACCCACACCCTGCTCAGAGCCCAGATGTACATTGGATGGGCACAGGAGCCCTATGTTCTGCACAGATATGGTCCCCTGCTTCGCCTTTCAGGAGCGACTCTGTTCTGGGGGACCATTTGGAATCTCCACATGCAATAGGAGTGTGTGACTTCCTTGCTGGGCAATCCGGTACTCATAGCCCTGTTCTCAGACCCTGGCCTATGTCACACTTCCTGTATTTCCTATACCATCATCTTGTTACCATCTGTTTTCTCAAGAATCTTTCTGTCCCTTAGCTCTGTGTTCTCTCCAACCCCTCTGTGATCCATGTCTGGCTGCTTTCTTCCATTGTACCTGCACTCCCCGCTTCTTGGCCCCCAGCAGACACACGTCCTGTGGGTACTGAACAGCAGTGTGCCTGCTTGAGGGTTTTAAGAGTCCTCTAGGAGTGGGGAGAATGGGCTTCTTGGGTGTCCAGAGCTGGGCAGCTGTCTCATGGCTCTTTTCTCCTTCAGATCCTGCTGCCGCCCAGGTGCCTGCCCATTTCCAGATGGAAGGGAGCACAGGAGAGCAGGTAACAGCCAGCAAGTCTGTAACAGCCCGGCCCCAGGTGAGCCCCAGGGCTTTTGGTCCTTCCCGCTGTCTTAGTATTGCTGCCTAGTGGATGGTACAGCTCCCCTCATCCTGAGTTTCTTTGTCATTTGACCTCCTGTTCAGAGACCCAGTTATGCCCCTTGAGCCCAGGGCCTTCTGCTGGGCGAAGGTCTTTCACCATTGCCAGGTTCATCTTTTGTTCTTTCTCAGCCAGCCCCATTTTCCCTCCTGAAAACTAAGAGCCATGGATCAGCTCTAAGTCATAATTTCTCTTTTTTTTTTCTTTAGGAACGCTTGACGTTCAAGGATGTAGAGGTGACCTTCTCTCAGGATGAGTGGGGATACCTGGACTCGTCTCAGAGGAACCTCTACCAGGATGTGATGCTGGAAAATTATGGGCACATGATTTCTGTGGGTTAGTCTTTAGCATTCCTGGCCACCTTCTGCCTTCTTGCTTTAAAAAAAGTTTTAATCTTTTAAAAAATTTAGGCTGGTTGTTTTAGTGCAAATTTTTAGTCCTACCATGGGTAGAGGCAGGTGGAGTTCTGTGAGATTGAGACCAACCTGTCTCATGAAAACAAAAGAATCCTGGACTGGAGAGGTGGCTCAGTGGTTAAGCGCACTGGTTGTTCCTGTTCAAGACCCGAGCTTGAATCCCAGCACCCACATGCAGCTAACAACTGTCCATAACTCCAGTTCCAGGGGATCCTGACCTCAGCAGGCATTATACAACATGGGTGCACTTACCTACATGCAGGCAATACACCCATACACATACAATAAAAATAAATAAAATATTAAAAGAAAACAAAAGAACCCCAAACCAAACAACCATTTATTTTGAGACTGGAGGGATGGCTCAGCTGCTGGTTAGGAGTACTGGCTATTCCAGAAGATCCCAGTTTAGTTTCCAGCACCCACATACCAGCTTGTAACCATCAGGGTATCTGATGCTGCCTTCTGGCCTCCATGGGCATTGCATGCGTGGTACAGTTAATACACACACAAACACAAACTCACATATACACTAAAAATAAAAATCTTTTTTTCTTTTTGGTCTTTTTGAGACAGAGTCTCCCTGTAGTCTCTGCTAGCCTGGAGCTTGCTTGGTAGACCAGGCTAGCCTTGAACTCAAAGAGATCTGCTTGCCTCTGCTGCCAGAGTGCTGGGATTAAAGGTGTAGGCTACTATACCCATCCAAATTTTTTAACATTTTTAAAAATTATTTTGCTGGGTGTGGTAGCACAAGCCTTTAGTTCCAGTGCTGGAGATGCAGATGCAGGCATGTTTCTGTGAGGTTGAGACCAGCCTGATCTACATGGCAAGCTCTAAGCTAGCTAGGTGCAGGGTGATCCTGTCTCAAAATAAAAAAATTATTACTTAAATTTTGTGTGCATGTATTTGGGCCCAGGCATACACCTGGGAAAATCATAAGACAACTAATGTGAGTCTGTTTTGTCCTTATACCATGTCGGTCCCAGGGATCAAACCCAGGTTGTCCGGCTTGGCAGCAGGTGCTTTAACCTGCTGAGCTATCTTCCTGGCCGTTGGGTTTTATTGTAATGTGTAGAAAGGGACCTGGGTTTTGATCTTGCTCTATAACTACTAGCCACATCACTTAATCTATCACGTTACTACCCTTCTTTTGAAAAATGGAGATGGTAATGCCTGTTATGCTGTGTTATTGAAAAGATTGAAAATATTTCATGGTCCTAGTCCATTTAAGCATTTAAAAAATTATGACTAAAGGACTGGGTGTGATGGCGCACGCCTTTAATCCCAGCACTTGGGAGGCAGGAGCAGGTGGATCTCTGAGTTCAAGGCCAGTCTGGTCTACATAGTGAGTTCTAGGACAGCTGTCTCAAAAACACCAAAAAAGAAAAAAATTATGACTAAAAAACAAAAATATCATGACTGATTTAACGAGTTGAGTAGTTGTGTGGCTTTTACCTCTGGCTCAGCCTCCTGTCTGGTTTCCTCAATTGTCTTCCTGGCCTTTGTTCTTTACCAGGATTTTAGGTTGTGGGTAGGCCCTAGAGAATAGTTCTGTGTGACCCATTTTCCTTCCCACCTCATTCCTTTTTCTGCAGTGGGGCCACCTTCAAAACCTGCTCTGATCTCCTGGTTGGAAGCAAGGGAAGCATGGAGCCTGGATGTCTGCACAGGTCAGCCTGTGAAGGATTCAGCTACTGCCCCTGAAGGTAAGTTCCAGAAAACCCACCAAGTTCTGCCCCCCTTGCATCTACTCTTTGATATGGTTACAGACAGACCTCATTAGGGACTTATCCCATTGTTTGCTAGGAGTTACAAAGGAGTGCTAGGCTCCTGGGCCTCTTCCCTCGTGTTGGCCTTTGATAATCCATTTCTTTCAGCCCTAGCAGCCATCTTAGTAACTGTTCTTGTTCTCACAGTGTTTCCCCATTTACTTTCCACTCACTGATGATCCTTCTCAGCACTGTGCTGCAATTCCCCCGTGTTCCCTGTGCCTGCCACAGCCTGTTCTTGAGAGCACCCATCCCACTCCTGTTCCTCTTCACTGCTTGATACTTCCTGCTCTGGTAGGCTTGATAACCAAATTTTTTTTTGTCTTTTTGAGACAGGGTCTCCCTGTAGACCCAGCTGTCCTGGAACTCACTATGTAGACTAGGCTGGCCTTGAACTCACAGAGATCCACCTGCCTCTGCCTCCCGAGTGCTGGAATTAAAGGTGTGTGACACCATCCCAGCTAATAATGAATTTTTTTCAGGCAGGCCCTCCTTGGACCCCCAGCTCTTGGGTTTCAGGGACCTTTGTGCTGTGGTCCTATGTCATGATTCTTGTCTATCTTGCTATTAGTCCTTTCTTCAGTCCTCCTTATTGCCCCCGTCCCCCCACATTTCTGTGTCTCTAGCTGCTGTGCCCATCTTGTCTTTTCTCATAGCTTCCTTGTTTATTGATAGGCTCTTTCATTGTTTTATCTTATCCTTGACGATTTTGTAGAAAGTCTTGGCAGTCAGGGGTTATGGTATTTAATGGTTCCTTTTTCCTTTTTGTAGTTCCAAGTTTGGGGGGAAAGTCCATTTTCTTGTTTTTGATTTCTGTCAGGAGGTGAGCTCCAGATTATGACAAGAAAGTTGAACTCGAAACAGGATGCTTCAGAATACACAGAAACCTTTCCTGAGCTATTAGTCTGTCCTGTGACACGTGTTTCTGGGGTAGCAGGGCTCAGAGAATCTTTGAAAGAGAAGAACGCACTACAGCAACTCTGTGGAAGCCCCATGAGAGTGAGAGAAATTAAGGAAGAAACAGACATCAATCACAGGACAGGAAGAGAATCTCAAGTATTAGGAATAAATGATATTCCTGACCTAAAACATGTTAAGTGTGTTAGAGTTTCCCAGAAAAAGCGATGCTTTAAACATGGCTATGACAGATACTTCAGAAAAAGTTCATGCCATTATGACTGCAAGAAATACGGGAAGGGGCCCCGACACACAATTGAGGGGTTTGGTGTGTATCAGCGAATTCACGCTGCTCCGAAAGAGAATGAAAAGGGCACACGTGGAAAGGATTTCATGCTTAGCTCTGATCACCAGCAGGAGCAGAGTGTTCCTGTTGTTCAGGAGTATAGATGCCGTGACTGTGGGAAGACCTTCGGTAAAAGTTCCCGTCTTGCGCAACATCAGAGACTTCATAGTCAAGAGAAACCATTTAAATGTAGGGTGTGTGAGAAGGCCTTCAGGTGGTACTCAAACTGTTCGCGACATGAGAAAATCCACACTGGCGTGAAACCTTATAAATGCAGTTTATGTGAGAAAGCTTTCCAGCGTCAGTCAGCCTACCGTCTTCACCAGAAAACCCATACTAAAGTGGAATTTGACTCTGACCGGTACAAAAAAGCTCTCACCTACAGCTTGGAGCTCAATCATTTGACAGACCAGAATGGGGAGAAATTCTTTAACTGCAGCCAGTGCAGCAAATCCTTTCGCTGTAAGTCCTATGCTCTTGAACATCAAAGAATTCATACACAGGAGAAACCTTATAAATGTACCAGATGTAGGAAAGCCTTTTGGTGGAGGTCACACTTTTCACGTCATGTGAGACTGCACCAGGAGCAGGAGTTCTGTCAACAAGATAAATGTCAAGAAAAGTTCCAGCAGAACTTCAGTCAGCCCCGGGGTATGCCCAAAGTAGAGAAAGCTTTTCTGTGTCAGCTTTGTGGGAAAACTTTTGCTCAAAAGAAATCACTCATTGAACACCATAGGGTTCACACAGGTGAGAAACCATACCAATGTAGTGAGTGTGGGAAAAGATTTACCTATAGGTCAGCCTTTATTGTTCATAAGAAGCATCATGCCTTTAGAAGAAAACCTGAAAGTGGACCATCTTTTAATCAGGATACATTGTTTCAAGTTCCTCAGAGCAGTCACACTACAGAGAAGCCCCACAAATGTAACCACTGTGGGAAAACCTTCGACAATCACTCTTTCCTTCTCATTCATCAGAGAGTTCACACCAGAGAAAAGCCCTATAAGTGCAGGGAGTGTGGAAAAGCCTTCCGATGGAGTTCTAATCGCTCCCGACATGAGAGGCAACACTGTTTGTACCAAGGGTACAAGTATGAAAGTGAAGCAACTCCAAACCTAGAGTCCAGTGTCCTCACTGGTCCGAAGCGCTTTTGGTGTGCAGAATGTGGGAAAACCTTTACACGTAAAAGAAGTCTTTCAGATCACATGGGAATACACAGTGGAGAGAAACGCTTTAAGTGCAACGTGTGTGGGAAATCCTATGATAGAAATCATCGACTGGTTAATCATCAGAGAATCCATGCTGCAGAGAGACCTTTTAAATCTTAGTGGTGTGGTAAAGATCTCACCAGGAAACATTCCTTCTGTTCCCTAGAGAAATCAGACCAAAGCAGTACACTCTGAACGCAGCCTGCCTGGCTTATCTTCTTGTGAGGACAGAAGGTTAATGTTCTGAAATTAAAGCCACCAAGTAGAGAGAAGCCCCTTGAAGAGTGTGATGACCTTTCTGACCGGAGCTCCATGTCACTGGACTCGAGAAAATACCCACTGAGAAAAACTGCCACAGATGTAGCATTTGTGGGAAAAGTTTTAGCAAACATTCACAGCTCAGTAGCTACAAGAGATTTCACACTCGAGAGAAGCCCTTCAAATGTAAAGTGTGTGGGAAGACTTTCAGGTGGTCTTCCAATTTGGCCCGGCATATGAAAAACCCCATTAGAGATTAGCCTCGGGCCTCAGGATAGTGGATAGTAGGCACTAAGGGGAATACATTCAAAGTCCCAGTCCTTTCTGGTTTGGAAGCACTTGGCTTGGAATCCCGAGGATTTAGACGCTCAGTGACTCATCAGTGTACCTTCTGAGAAGTGATGTTGGGGAAAAGCAGCACGTTTTCTGGGGCCGTTCTGCAGGCCGAGGCCCTTAGCTATAGTTCACAACTCTTCCAGACAGCCAGGTCTCCTCTGAGAACTCTATTGTAGTTTGTGATTAGATACTTTGTAGTCTGATTCCAGTTCTTGTTTAGGTTTGGCTTGTATGTTCTTTGACTTTAAAGGAACAGCATCAAGAGTCCTAGTCTCAGGGACTGGAGAGATGGCCTAGTGTTTAAGAACACTTGTGGCTGTTACACAGGACCTGGGTTTGGTTTCCAGCACCCCCATAGCAGCTCCGTAACTGTCGATAACTACAGCTCCATTGGATCCAATGCCACCTTCTTGCTTCCGTGGGCATTGCATGCACTTGGTGCACATCTGTGCAGGGAATCACACAGAAACCTTCAAAGAAAAAAAATGAAACTACTACTAATCTTCCCAGACATGTCCTGGGGAGCTCTGCTGGGGCTTCAGTTTTACAGTTGGGTTTTAGTTAGTATTATTACTCTCTGTAGGGAGTAAGAAGGGCAGAGTGCTGGGCTCCATTGTTTGATCAAGATGGCCTTAATCCTCAGTTCATCTGAGGTATGAGCACCTCCCATATGCCAGGTACCTGTATGTGTGCCAAAGACACAGCAGTGACCTGAAGAGGCAACTGACGTGCTGTCTTGGGTCCCTTCAGACAGTAAATAAGATGGGTTATATTCTTGATGATGATACCTCTTGAGAGCAAAGTAAGAGAAGAATGGGAAGGAATGCTGAATTGGTGTGTGGGTTGTGAATTTAAACAGGCTGATCAGGAAGGAGCTGAAAAGAGAAGGTGAAAACTAGTTCAGTAAGGCACTGAAAGAAGTTGGGGAGTGAGCATCAGGCAGATGAGGTGGAATCTTGTCTGGTGGCCTCTGGGGACAGCAGAGTCCCCTGGGTGGAATGGAGTGAGTCAGCTGCAGAGAGTGGACTTCAGGAGAGTCCTTCAAGTCTTCGTAGAGGTGGTGTTAACACATCTGTTGGTGCTGCGTCTCTGAAGAGAATACCACTCTGTTCATAGTTTGCCTTGCCTGGGACCTTGTCCTTAAGTCTGCTCCCTTGGCCTGATCTCTCCTGAGGCCCATGTCTTAGTGTCATCTGGCAGCCAACTCAGCCTGAACCCTCAGGAAGGGGAGGCGTGGGTGCTCATGATTGCAGAGATTTTGCAAAAGATTGCTTCTGTGAAGAATCAAGTTCAGCTAAGTCAGGGCTAGAGTTTTCTAAGATGCTCTTGATCAGAAAAGTTGGAAGTTCAAATTTTTTCTATTTGTATCTGTTTTTAAGTTTGTTTTAGATAGGCTCTCACTAGGTAGCCCTGGCTGGCCTAGAGGTTGTGAGTCAACCAGGCTGGCCTCAGATTCACAGTAATTCTACTTCTGCCTTCAAAGCACTGGAGCTAGAGGCATACACCAACACAGCCAGCCTCGGGAATTTTTTTAAAGCAAGCCTCCAGTGAAGAATTAGCATGAAGCCATACTGTAGAACACAGCTTCTGTTTGGGAGCCTTGCAGTTTGTTTCTGAGTTGATGGGATTCTAGTTGGTAGCTTCTTAATGCTTTGGCCACCCTGTGTAATCTCGTTTGTGAACTTGGCCTGGTAAGTACACAGGTTCTTTTAGTCTAGCCTATCTCATTATTCTCTTGGAAAGGAACTGAAGTTGGGGATGGGGATAGTCAGGTGGGCAGCGACCAATACAGGAAGAAATAGGAGTGAGATAGCCACTCATTCACCTGGCCATTTTGGTCAGCTCCATCGTAGCTGAAGACTCAGACCACAGTGCAGTGTGTCCAGAGAAGAAACCACACAAAGACCAAAATATGCACAATCTCACACATTTTTGAAAGCCCAGCTGTGTAAATATGTGGAAGTGGAATCTACAGTCCTTCGTAAGTGGAAATTGAGACAGCTACTTACTGTGCCACGCAATTTGCAAAGTCTTACAAAATTTTGAGTACCAACCAGTGGCTCCCTTCCTGGATCAGCATGAAGAAAGGTGAGACCTGTCATTGCAGCATTGTTTAGGTTGTGGGACTGGAAAAAGGCTCTCTTGCTTTTAGCAGAAGAGATGGTGCGAGGATTGCTCAGTACTTAAGAACATGAAGCACACATCTTTAATCCTAGCATGTGGGATGCTGGGGCAAGGGGCCCATGAATTCATAGTCAGTTGGAGTTACAGAGCAAGACCGTGTCTCAGAAAAAAAGTTAATATGCGTTACATACTTCAACACGGAGAAAACTGCTTAGTTATAGAAGTTGTATGTAATGTATCATTTATGTGAAGTAATCATATTGGAGTACATCCCTTTCATTGATCTGTGTTTCAGTATTTGTGTAAGTTCGATGGCGGTAGCACCCTCATGGGTGGTGGGGAGCAGTTAATGAAATGCATGTTACTGCTTAGATTAGTGTCTGTTATGCGAGCATGTTAGAGGTAATGTTTTGCACTTTTCTGAGGAGTCAAAAGACATGAAATTGTAAAATTATGAAATGGGGTGATGTGTGCTCACCACTGCACTGCCTTCAGAATGAAGTTCCTGATGAAATCTAGAGGGTTTTTTGGGGGGGCGTCACTTGTTTTTCCAAGAATTGATGTAAAAGTACCTGAAAGTTAAGGTTTAATACAATATTGTTGGTTCTTTTTAACTGTTAAAGTATTTGAAAATGAATAAAAAATTAAGCATGGGTCTTATACAATTCTCAAAATTAAAAATTAAAGTCTTTAAACCAATAGCCAGCTTCATGTCTTAATAGGCCACGCAGTGTGGCTGAGGAGATAAATACACTCCCCTCAGTGAGTGCATCATTTTGCCCACTTTTATGGTCAGAAACCCAGGGAACGTGGGTTTATCAGCTTGGGGGCATGGTAGAAGTGCAGATCAGCAGAACCATCTCTCCCAGTCAGCACTGGGCAGTTACCTGTTAAAGGCTGTCAAGAAATGGTAAGAATGTTTTGTATAGAGCTCCCAAGTTGTATTATTATAAGCACCTTAGTTTTTATTTGTTTGCTTGTTTATTTCTGTGAATGAGTGAAATTGCTAGGAGCAGACTGTTTAGGCCTTTGAATGGCAGGTAGACCTTTCCTTGAGGCCTGGCATCCTAGGGTTTGGGTATGTTGACCTAGTAGCTCAATCTCTAGCGTCCTGCTGGATTTGTTCCTAACAGCCTGGCTGTTTTGGACACTTACCCTCTGAGAATATTCTACCTGCAAGGACCTTGGCAACTGAAGTCATAACTGCCCCTGAAGGCATTGCCTCAGTCCACTTCAGACAGCCTGCACTGATATTAGAAGGCAGCAGCCCAGGTTACTCTGAAGCTATTCCTTAGTGGGAGGAGGAGCACATCCTCAATAACTCAACAAGAACTACACCGTGAATGTTGAACGTAAACAATCCATTCACATGCCACCCTCACACCATCTCCCCTATGTAATTGGCCTGTTCAGCTAGGAGGCACTCTCCTGTACTGACCCCCACAGTCCCCACCCCATTGGGTTCAAAAAAAGTGTCCTCCAGAATCATCTTTCCTGCCTTTTTTTCTTAAGCAGAACAGGCTGAGCTTGTATGAAGAGAGTTTGCAGCAGCAGCAGTAGCAGCTGCACCATGGTATTGAGAGGACAGTGGAAGCAGCAGCTGGGGCCAACACGGCTAGGAGTAAAGATGGCAGGAGCAATGCAGGATGGTAGGTGCATAGAGATGAGAAGGATTGGAGCCAAGACAGCAGAACCTCATAGCTGGAAGAGTTCCTGGGAACTGCCAGACCTTGAAGGCAGAGGGTCCCAACAGCCAAGGCTGAAGCACTTCAACAGCTGCTGTAAAGGCTGAGGATGGAACACCAAAGGGTTAGGAGCTGGAGCCCTAGCTGCCACTTGCTGCAGAGCTCGGCGTCCAGCAGTGGGAACCCAAAGCTGTAAACCTTTCCTCAGAGCACTGAGAGCTCTTAAGTCCCCTTTCTGTGGCCTGGAGGTCTACGTAATTCTCAGGGCTGGAACCATAAGCCTCTGAGTCTGTCAGCCCATCTCCTAAAGCCTTCCGAACCCAAGGACTTGTTACTTCATGTCACCTATCCCCTTAGTAGAATCACCCAATTCTTTGGGAGCAAAAAATAATGAAAGCAGATGAGGCAGACTTTGGTCTCTGAGGAGGGATTTGGGTTTCATTGCTGACAAGCTAAGAACAGCTAGGTTTCTTGTTGGTTGGATGGTTGAAATGGGGACCCAAATCTGGGCTACACTAAATACGTTGAACTGTGAGCATTTCCTTGGTGTGCCGTAAAGCAGGGATGTCCAACTTTGACTTTTCCATGCCAACCTTGGACAAAGAATTGTCTTGGGCTACACATTAAAGTCAATGAGCAAATCTAGGGAGGAAAGAAGGGACAAAGGGCTTCCCTCCCACTTTAGAAATGACCTTGCACCTAGGGCAGTGCCAACTCAAGTCCCTGGAAGACTCATGGCAACTATTGGCAGTGGAGAAGGTTGCCATGGAGACTGTTGAATGGAGAGCACCTAGGGGCATTCAGGAGCACAATGTCAGATTCAGCAGAGCTCATAGACGCCGCAATCTGTGGGTCAACACTTGGCATTGTGCCCAGTTTGTGAGACCCCAAAGACCACCAAGGAGCTGACCGATGCAAACACACAAGGGTTTTTTTATTCTTGCAAGCTTAAGCTTGGGCCCACTCTGTCACTGACCCAGTAGATCTTAGATGTGAGACCCCTTGCTTTGGGAGACAGAGGTTTTTGTAGATTTATTTCAGTAAGTTCAGCAAGTAGGGGGTCTCAAGCCTGGCAAGCATCTGATTGCTTATAGCCCAGTGCCAAACCATAAACTGCTGCCTTCAGGAAATCTGAAGAGACATTTGGACTTTTAGTACTTCCCTGTCCCTGGTTAATTGTTGGTGGGGTAGTTGTTCTCTATCTGTTCCAAGTATACTTTTTTTTTGTGGTTTTTCCTGGAACAGGGTTCAGGGCTGGGTCAGTCCCATGGAGGTTTTATCCAAGATGGAGTCACTCAGGTCTCTCATTCCCCCCTCTAGTACCTTGGGGGCCCAATCATGGGCACTGCCTCATCTCATGTTCTTCATCACCCAGACTCTGGAGGGACTGATAGTGGGTTCGCATTACCATTAGCTCTATAGCTCCCAGCTGCTCTTTTATAAAAGCGACCAATTTATTTAAAATGTGAGGTCCAAAATCAAGAGCATAATCAGAATGAGGAGGCATCCAAGTAAGGTTGAAATCAAAGTGGTCAACCAAGGGGAGCTATTGAACCAGGATTCAAAACACCCTTGTTTAGCCCTATATTCTTTCTCTCTTCGAGCCAGACTTTCTCTAACCTTGGCCAGGGATTCTTTGAGGACCCCAGAGTGATCTACATAAAAACAACACTTTTCCTGGAGGGCAGCACAGAGGCCTCCCTGCTGCAAGAACAACATGTCTAGGCCTCTCCTGCAGAACCATTTCTGCCAAGGAGGTTAGGGATTCTTGTAGGTGGAAAACAGACTTTTCTAAGTTCTGGATGTCCACATCTCTTGTGGCTCTAAGACTATGGTAGTTTTGGCTTTGTAAGGTTAAGGCTGAAATTCCTGTACTCGCTCCTGCCAGTCCCAATCCCAGAAGAACAGATAGGGTGATGGCAGTAACAACTTCTCTTTCCTGGCGATTACGGTGAAGGGGTCCTTGCCTGGTCAGGGCCCTATTTATATCCTGGTCTGAGTGATAAATAATTCTAGGGATTAGTTGTACTAGAACACAAAAATCTGATGATTCGTTAAGAACTTTAGAATGGACACATGGGGTTAATCCCGAGGTACATGCCCACCATCCTTGATCTGGTGGTATCAAGTACAAGTTATTGGCCAGCACTGGCAGAGTCTGGTTGCATAGGGCAGTGTACTCATGAGGGGGCTTGCCTATATATAGCCCTTGTCCTGAACCATCTTGTAGTGTAATCCTGGTTCCTTCCTGCTGAGCCCATCTACAGCTGCCTTGGTCCGATGCTAGGGTGATGTTTCCTATGAATGCAATCCCCTCATAGTATGGGGGCCTTGATGAATAACATAACCAGCATGATGAGGTGAGGTCTGGCCTGGTATAATTGAGTACCAGGTAAGTCTGGACCATTAGTGACCAAAGTGGGTCAGTGTCACCTGCAGGAAGGCCATGGCTGTCAGGATAACCATTATTTGAGGGGGCCGCTGTGGTTGACAAGATTGATTCTGGGGTGACCTTTAAAACAGCACCTGGTCCCAAGGGGACTGAACAGGTCTGGTACTGAGGAATTTTTAATCGAATAGAGAATAAAGTTCCTAGATCTGGTTCGGTCCAGCCTGCATAGAGTCTGAGTCCCCAATTTTTTCCCACTTCCCAGCCAGTGGCTCTCTTTCCTTCTTCAGTAAAACTAATATTGAGCCTACCATTTTTATGAGGATTAGTGGGTATCGGTTGCTCCCACATTACCTTAATAAGATCTCCTCCCTGTGGAGTACACCATATGTGTCCAGTTGTTTCACAGCCCCAGTGAGCACAATAATTAGCGCTATCCTCTCCACACCTGTTTCTCTGGGACTTGTATTTTGGAGTTCCAGGCCCTGGGCAAACAGAACCGGCCTGGTTTTCTATATGGGCCTGGAGAGTTAGTTAGACCTGAAACATCTTGTAGCATAAGCCTGATTCCTTCCTGCTCAGCCCATCTAAAGCTGCCTTGGTCCAGCGCTAGGGTGGTGTTACCTATGAATGCAATCCCCTCATAGTATGGGGGCCTTGATGAATAACATAACCAGCATGATGAAGTGAGGTCTGGCCTGGTATCATTGAGTACCTGGTAAGTCTGGACCATTAGTGACCAAAGCAGGTCAGTGTCGCCTACAGGAAGGCCATGGCTGTCAGAATAACCATTATTTGAGGTGGCCGCTGTAGTTGACAAGATCGATTCTGGGGTGACCTTTAAAACAGCACCTGGACCCAAGGGGACCAAATGGGTCTGGTACTGAGGAACTCTTACTCTTAATCAAATAGAGAATAAAGTTC